CTTAACAGGTTCAATCCACTGTTGAAAAACACTACCAAAAATAGGTGATTTTCTGTAAGAAACAGAATGATACATGGGCACAAAAAAAACCCCATTCAATTTAAATGTTAATTTTGTTTTGAAGATTATCAATACATAATAAAAGACTAAACTACAAAAGTAGCAATGGAAGGGGCAGGACCTACCTTAGGAATGCTAAGGAAACAAGGGTAAGATATAGCAGGAGTCAGGATTAAAGAGGTCCCAGCTGGCCAATTTTCAAGGCTTGGGAAAATGGCTGAATTGGTCATGAACATGAAGAAATGTCAGCCYCTGCAGCAGGGCAATTATTTTAATCACATGAAACTCGAGGGAATAGCAACTACCTGAAATGCAAAAAGGAGAAATCTGAACAGGAAGGCCAGGAATACAGTARTGCACTAGTGCTAGCACCTGAGAGSAGGTGGATGCCAATATTAAGAGAGGAAAAAAGCCCTCRGCCTTGGAATAAATCCTATGAGATCAATGGAGCAAAGAAGACTTGCCACCAACTACACCAGGATTTCTGAGCCTCAGCAAGAGTGGAATAAAAGGCATAAAATCTCAAAAGGAACAAGAGGGTCTCCAGAAGCTGTCCTTCAGGCTAAGCTATCTGAATCTTACTAAGTTTATCCATGTTATAATGACATGCTTTTTTAAATATCTGAGATAGATAGAAGAAAGAACACTTTCATTGTGTAGCAGTTTGTCACTAGGAGATACAGAGTTGTAGGCATTTGCATCCGTTTTTCCACTGAATTTCCTTCTCAGTGTTTCTTTGAGGGATTGCTGCAAAACAATTTTTCAGTGGGTGAAGTGAGAATAATACACACAAACGATAGGAAAAAACAATCTTATCTGAAAACAAGCATAGACAAGATGCTCTCAGCACATGGTGTGATTCTTAGSGTTGTCCTGTGTGAGACCAGGAGYTGGACTCATCTTTCCAACTCAGGATGTTTTATGACRTAGGAGACCAAAGCATCCTGCTACATTAGCATCCTTGAGTACCATAAGTCATCTGTAAGCACTCATTCATTTCTCTCTAGAGGAGTAAAACACCTTTTTAGTCATAATTAATTCTGAATTTTTGATARTTTCAGATTATTCCTGGAAAAACAAAGGTGTTCGTCCTCCGTTACCAGGTCCTACTTTCAATTCAGCAGCAAAAAACATGAATATCCTAGCTCGTCCCCCCACAATTCAGCGAGTCCATGGGAGAACAGACTGGGTGGCCAAATATGGAGGGAACAAATAGAAAATGCCATCCTGTGTGGATATTACGTGCACTGCATTCAGTTCTCCTGCGCTTGGAAACCTGAAATGCCTATTTGCTCCAGCTATCCCTCAGACTATGCAATAGTAAAGGAGAAAAAAAGACCTTGTGTTCTATTGCTTGTATAGTACATATAACACCATGTAAAATACTGGCTGTAAAGTAGGATGCTGTGAGGAATTGTACAACATGTATTGCCAAAATTGAGCAGTGGATTTCACCCKATGTTTTTCTATAGATGGACTCTTATCCTCGAACTCTTTAGGAAAACTGTTAGGGTTGTTCATCCAATGCAACATCTGCTGGTATGTGTGTGAAGTGCACAAGAAGGATGAAGCGGGGCTGAAGCAGGGCAGCACCAGGCTTCCAGGTGTTAGGCRGGTTCCTTAGCAGGAAGATGAGAGTGAAAATACAGATCTGGCTTTGTGAAGAATATCAGTCTCCTGCAAGGATTTCAGAACTCACTTGTAACTAAGAGTTACTCAGGGTCTATAAGGTGCAAATATTCACGTAGCAATGAGAACTGAAACCCTTGTAGTAGKATATYGGCAATCCACTGACAGATACTACACAGGAAGGTCTAGAAACTTGGCTGATATAGGGCTATTGAATGATATAGCAATATTGGAAAATAGCTAAACAAGTATGAATGCTAGACTTATCAAGCTCTAAAGTGAAGTCTAACAATTAGATTCTGCTGTTTTAATCAACTTATTGCCATTTATGGTCAAAGATCTGTAGAGATGTRTCTGTGTCCTGTACAAGGGAATGTCACAGTGACCTTTTAAGGAGCCTAAATCACTGCAGTCTGTCAGTCATTTGAAGGGTGAATTAGCCAAAACCACCTACATTATCACTAAACTCTTATTCCTACATGTTTTTATTAGGTGATCAAACTAAACTACAGATTTTGAATAAGCTACATATGGAAGAATATTGGTCTGTTCTTCAAAGACATTGCTTTCTGTTTTAGATCTYAAAGGCCAACTAAGGTACCTGAAAACACACACAGAACTTTAATAATTCAGTATGTCACTGTTTATATGCTCATTCAGTACTTTCCCCAGATTTTATGCTAACTTTTATAATAATATTGCCCAAAGGACTTTGCAAGGTACAATGAATTGTTTATTAGGATGCTGAACTGGACTACTTCTGTTAACAACTGCGTTTAGAATAAATGCTTTAGACTTAATAGTGACATGAAATTTGCCATTTTAAAGTACAAACTGAATATGTTCTTTAAAGATGTAAAGTTGTTAATGATGACTTCAAGGATTGTAAAAAAATAAATTTATTTGTATGGCTTTTATAAATGGATATTAAAATTTAAATTCCTGTTGTTGACCAATTGTGTCATAATATATGGGTTACGTTGACTTCCTGGAAAGCAGTTTAATTACAACAGTTGTACCAGAAAGTCAGATATTTTGTTATGAAAATTGCACCTAATGAAAATGCCACTTTTTTTTTAACACTGCAAGAGTTATTATGCAAACTGAAATAAGGATAGGACTATCTGGTTAATTATGCACTAGATTTTAATTCAATTGCCATTGGTCTAGGATTAAATATTTGTYATTCCCTTAGTACTAAGAAATGTCCCTATGTTACTTAAATGCATCTTAATTTAACRGTAGAACATAATTTACTATGGCAGTGAAGGACAACCTCAGATTTTGTAACAGACATAAAAGCAATGATTTTATAATTAAAAAACAAGATAAATTAATCGCTTGTCTCTAGTACAAGATGGCAATGACAGTTAAAATCACAGCCTGGTCAAGGAATTAAACAATTGTGTGTCCATAGCTCACGTGTCTATGAGTCACCTTAGAGCAGAAAAATAAACAGGTACTATTTATGGCACTAAATATGGTTAGAAGAAACATGCTGTCCTTGTCACATGATAATGAACTTGAAAGGGCTTTGACATAACTTTATCAGTTTTTACTTGTTCACAAGCAAAGCTTGGCAAGTGTTAAGCAATTCTTGTTGCAAATGGCAAGAAGAGGCTAAGCGGCTTTGTACAGTTATTTAACTGTGATTCATTGGAACACATTGGACTGCTAGTACAGAAATGCTTCAAAAGTTTAGTATATGCTGATAGTTTCAAAGGAGTAAAAAGTATGTAAGGCTAAGGTTTTTTTCTCTTGTCCCTCTGCCTGTATTACTGAGCTGTTTCTCCTGAGCATGAGAGTTCTACCACAAGTTCTAAATTACTTCTACCAGCAGTTCTCAATTCAAGCTACTRCTTTCCAAAGCTCATGAAACAGCAGCAAGAGTTCACACTTTGGTCTAAAAGTTTAAAAGCTTACCAGTCCAATTCTCTGCTTTCTATTTTCTTTATTCTGTTAAAGACAACTGCAATTCAAATGTGCAAGTTACTTGAGACTAGCATCATACAATTAGAAAACTGCTGGGTCATGGCTGTTCTCAGTTTATTGCAGGAGTTGCATTTATGTTTGCATCCTACTCTACAGAAGAAAATTGCTTCAACAGCAATATAAAGAGGCAAAAAAATGCCATAAAGCAGTTTGAGGTGTCTTAAATGTCTCAAATGTCTGGCTTACTAAYTTTTCACATGAGAGCAGAGACATTGAGACACCTGCCCATCAATGCTGGGTCCTGGCTGGGATTAAGCACTTAAAAGGGTGGCATAAAACAAACCATCTGCTGTCTTGCACAGAGGGAAACATAAATACCRATGAACGCCTGAAGCTGAACTCTGCAGGATAATGAATAAGGGCACTAAGAAGATTTGCTGTGAGTTCCCCCTCCAGATCTTCCTGTGCTCAACCCAGCTCTAACCCAGTTTGTCTGGCCTGGGACCAGGCTGCTGAGATCTTTGCTGGAGCTGCACCCATTGCTGGCCATGTCCCTGCAGATCTGGGAGCCAGTCTGCTTGACCTGGCAACCTGGCTTGACCTCAGCCCTGCTTCATCCCTGTGACTTGCCTGGCAAAACAGTGCCYTGCTGGCAGAGCCTGGCTGTGGCCACTGGCCCAGCTCTGCGCCTCCTGCTCAGGCAGCACAAGGTCACTGCCCTGCCCGTTTTCCTGCGACAAGGGAGGAGGGAAGGAAAGCCACGGGATGTGGCCCTCCTGCCAAGGTACTACCATGACACTTAGAGAATTCTGAGCAACTCCAAAGTCTCACCAGTCTAATGGACCAACCCTGCTGTTTCCATCTCTCAGCACCAGGCACCAAAGAGAAAAGGTTAAGGAAATCGAAGCTCAGGATCTGTGCAAAAAGGGACATAAGTTAAATGAGACCAGGAAAGGGATACATTAGCATCCGTGTATCTTCTAGGATATTTCTCTATGGAAGGTTTATATTTAGAATGGTTTCAGGCATTAAGGGAATCAGCTGAGGACACAGACTGATCAAATAAGCCTTTTGGTCTTTAAATAAACTTTCATACAACATTTTCTAAATCTAAAATAGATTATTCCCTCAGGGAAAAAAATAAAATAAAACCACAAACCACTAAAAACTTTAATATAATACTTCTCTGAATATATGGTCTGTATGCTGTTGTTCTTTCCACCTCCTCCCAGTTCCGATTTTTATGTTTACAAGTTACTAGAGTCAGGGATAGAACAGATTATTTATACAGTTCATCTTGCAAATGTATCCAGACACCCTGCAAGACAGACATAAAACTGTACCAATCCAGATGAACAATTAGAAACAAAAAAGTCGTGTAGAACACAAAAGTTTGCAATAATATTTTCTTAGTTTATTTAAAATAACATTTTAATAAAGCTGTGCCTACAATTCAGCATTACCTAATACAGCATATTTTTGATTTATGAGAAGCAATCTGTAAAAGTGAATTGAATGACAWATAGCTGGGCACTGTTGCTTATGAGTAATTTCAAGTCATGGGTATGAATTTACTGTATTACAGCAGAGCCTCGACAGCCAGGTTCATGACCATGTTTTGTGGGACAAGGTTCTAACACGCAGTGCTGGGAGAACAAACTCCCTGACTRAGAAACATTGTGAATGGATAAACTGCAAAGGAAAGGGAGATAAAATGTCATAAGCACATTTCTTATATTAAYTACTAGTGACAAATTGGCAGCTCCTCTCCCCTGGTTTTAGAGGTACACATGATTTTAGAAGGACAAGTTAGGATGTACATTTAAGCTCCAATCCTACAACTGTCTGAATGCAGGGGCCAGGAAATCTTTGCCTGTGCTAAATGGCAGAACCTGAAGCTAAACTAATGTTGTACTTGTATTTTCTTGCTTGCTTTCAGTGCAGAAAATGTTAAGACAAATACCATTTTGGAAGACATGACAGGGGCTCTCTATGTCGGTCCTTTAAAAACACAATGCCCATGTGCACTAGGATATGAAAAATTCAGTGCACAGGTAGCAGTGCCTTTTCCACCTCTGTGCAGCACATTTAGGCAGTTGCATTTTTGGGCTTCTCAATCATGTGTCTTCAAAGTCACTTGATGCAGATTTATGGTTTAATAGGTTTTTTCCATCATCTGCAATCCAAGCCGTCCAACCATCAGTAAACTGTTGAACAGAAAAGTTGTTATGAAAAAAGGGAGGTGGAGGCAAAAATTCCATGAAGAACAAGAAGGCAGAAAACATTGGCATGACTTCATTTAGCCTTCATGAACGTTTCATTTTTCACAGAACTTAACGTATAACATTTTTAAAACAATATAATCCACAAATTAAATAAGATGTTTATTTAATAACACAGACAAGAACAAAGGACAGGTGATTACCTGGCACCAGCWATTATCCCGGGCATTGCCTTCTTGGAGTTGTAAAATCTCATTCCCATAACAGTAGACAAGGTGCCAGATGCCACTGTTGAAAAGATGCCCAGTCAGAACCATTTGACACAGAAATGACAGCGCAGCGCTGCCACGCTTGGACACTGWGCAGCACCAAGCAAACAGACCTGCACTTACAGAAGGGAAGGCCTCCCTCTGTGAGTAATCCTGTAAATTCATGGGATTTTCTTAAGCAGGGAAGCTKTTGTCACAACCTTCTCAGCACCTTTGCTAAGTGTGCTCCACTGCTCAGCAGAAGTTGAGATCACATCAGGGTTGAGACYGCTGTCTGATCACCCACAAACTCCAGTCCTCTGAACAGATCACTAACTCTACCTCAACACTTATTTGCAAGAGAATGATTATTCCCTCAAATACAGGCAGGCCCAAAASTGCCAGAAAGCTGGGATGGTGAAAGCATTCACTATGTGAGAAGTAAATATTATTTACATTTGCCCTTCCTCTGAAAAGACATTCTGAGCTGGAAAGTGGTACTAAGTACTACAAGTGGAAAGAAAACAACCTCACTTGAAAATATGAATTAGAAAACAGAAAGCAATCTAAAGGATCAAACTGAAACAGCAATCAACATCTTAAACATTACTCCAAATTATTWAACTTCTGAATGTAGAAAAGGAATCCCATCAAAATACACATGAAATTTACAGGGTTGTTGTTTCTTTGAAGAAAAAAAGGCAGGTGAAGGTGCTCTGTAATACCTTTCTCCAAAGCCTCAAGTTGGTTTGCATCAGACAGAGCAAAAGGTATTCTAGAGATACTCTGCCAGGGTTCTGTTTCTGCATTTCTACCTGTGATGCACTATGACCAACTTAAGCTCTGCAGCTGCACATCTCAAGGATGGCTGAGGAGGAAGGGATAAATGAATGAAGAGTTGTGCTAGGCTGGGACACACCACTGCTTTCAAAAGGTCCATTTGAAAGCACTCTGTGCACCACACCAGGATATGTGAAAGCTGCTCATCCTTCTTCCATGACACTGCCTAAAACCCATGCCAGAGATRCACAGCCACTCCTGTAGCATGCAAGAGTGGAAGGACAGTTCAGAAATGGAAATTGTGCTTCACACTGAGCTGCATTCTACATGTCATTCCTTACTGACAAGGTAGTTTGGCCCTCTACTGTGGCTCCAGAAAGCCTTTCAGCACATTAGTCCTCTTGGTTTAAAATAAACCTTAAATCCCTGTGAAGCTATAGTTTCATGACAATAGTAACACCACATAGTRACAGAACTAGTGAGAACCTCAAGAGGTCATTTAGGACACCCTAGGACCCAAAGGCAAGATCAGTTCCTGACAGTGGTTTAACCAGATATCACAGTCCTACAGCAGTAGAAGTCCCTGAGCTTCATCTGATCCCTTTCAGTTTTTAATACTTCCCACGGTGATTTCATCCTTCCCTCGAAGAGTTAACTGCAAGCTACAACCCCAACTTCCTGTGCGTTCTACTGTAAGCAAGCAGAATAGATCATTCCCTCTTTTCTTTTACCTACTGTTTGTTGCATTGAAACATGCACTGCTCCTCTGAGATGCCTGTGCAAACCAGGGTTCCATAAGGCCACAWACCACCTGTCACAGTGCTGTCACTATTGCAAAAATAGTGCTTATTCCATMACCACAGGCTAAAAACACTGCTTCACAACAAAAAAATTTCCAAGTATGTTTCCTGCACCTCATGTGCTGGTTTAACACATTATCTAACCTGGCAGAAGAGAAAGGTATTTCTCACCATCTCTGGATTCAAACAGGACAACTCAGGTTTTAGAACCTGGTATCGTGCTCTTACAAAAATACCTGCCGGCTCTGGGYAGGAGGTCGTGCCTCCAACTTACAACATCTGTACAGGTAAAAGGACWYAGAGCARCTGAAACATGCTAGRAAAAAAAAAAAAGTTTCTGCTCCCACCGCTACCAGTAACACTCAGTACTCGATTGCCGAGCAAACTTACCGAGGGAAAGCCACACATTCTTTGGATCTTTGGACTGCTGGTAAGCGCCTAGTCCCGCTAAGCCGCCGAACAAAAGACCGGCAGCTAGGGAAGGGACGCTGCCTTGAATAAAAAAATAAAGCAGTCAGCGACAGAACACACAGCCAGTCTGCACGTCAAACGAAAGCACTTTGCGAGCTTCCCGCACTAGTAAATCCACAAAAACAACCTAAGCAAGGCGTACCGRACTAGGTTAGGTTGAGTGGTTTGGGAATTTTTTAAAATAGTTTGCGGATCTCCGCTAGCACCGTTTCGGTGGCAACAAGGACCTAGCGGGACTCGCGGGGTCACACTGGGGCCACCGTCCGAGCGGAGCGGTGCGGGGCGGGTGGGGAGCGCAGCGGGGGCTGCCTGCGGGCAGCACCGGGACAGGGACAGCCACGGCCACCGGCACCCACCTGCCTTGGCGTAGCCCACCACACCGCCCGYCGCCACCAGCGCCGCGTAGCCGAAGCCCAGCCAGTCGTACTCCATCTGCGGGCAGCCGCAGAGACCCGCGCAGGGCAGAGGAGCGCCGACCTTGGGCCGCCCTCCCTCCGGCACTCCYCGGTGCCGCCTCCCGGAGGTCCCGCCCGCCGCCCGTGACGGCACCCGGGGAGGGACCGCGCCGGCGGGGCTGGCCCAGCTTCGAGAGGAGTTGCTCAGTTGATTACCCATTCGTAACACAGCTGGAAAGTCAGAAATGAAGCAAAAATCACCCGCCTCCCGTTTTCTTCCCGGGTTCGACTCACCCGCCCTGTCGGGGCTTGGGAAGTGGAGGTTGCGGTGGGTCCACGGCGCCTCTTCTCCCTCCCACCTCGCATTCTTGCCGGCCCCCAGCGTGGGGTCCTTCCCGCGGGAGACAGTGCTGCCCAAGCTGTCCCCRAGCAGGTYCCTTCCATGGGGAGCAGTCCTTCAGGAACAAGTGGTCACAAGTCCTGCCAGCAAACCTGCTCCMGGGTGGGCTCCTCTCTCCATGCGCTGCAGCTTCCTCCAGGGTACGTCCACCTACTCCAGTGGAGGTACCGCATGGACTGCAGGGGGATCTCTGTTCTGACACCTGGAACGCTTCCTTCCCCTCCTTCCTTGCCAACTTTGGTGTCTGTAGGGCTGTTTTTCTCAAATGTTCTCACTCCTTTTMCAGCTGCTCTTGCTGTTGTGCATTAAGTTCTTTCCGCTTCTTAAATACCTTATTCCAGAGGTGYCACCGGTGYGATGRGCTCAGCCTGGGCCAGCAGCGGGTCTGTCTTGGAGCCATGTGAGTCTGCCCRACGTGAGGGTAGGTCCTGGTGTCTTCTCTCAGAAGCCAGCCTTGCCCTGGAAGCCCAACACAGATGTCAAAAGAAGGCATCTGGATTCCTCAGCAGCTCAGCTGAGGATGCCACACACATGCAGTGCAATGGTGGTGATRTGCTATAGGGCACAATCCCCAGCATCACGTGGAGCCGCCCCAGCACAGCACTGGGTGCAGTCCACTTGTTCTAAAGGCAGGCTTGGTAACTGGTGTCGAGTGCCGATTCACGCATTGAGGCAAGTGTTTCCATTTGTCATTCCAGTTTGCACAAAATAGGGAGTTTGATCAGCTCACTGATCACCAAAACTTTACACTATTTAAACATTTTAACAAACTATTTACATTACTTATACATTTTAACAAACTCGGGCAGAAGCATGCATTGGTTACAACTTACATAACTTTTCTATAATTAGTACTTAACCCCCTTCCTAATTGCTAATTATATCTCTCACTTCTCATCCAAATAGCCCACARGTTCTTCTCTCCATCTGAGTCTGGGGTCTGTTTTGAGTAGGTGGTCAATGAATCAGAGGTTGTGATTGCCCACRGACAGAATTTACTGCTGCCAGTTACTGCTCAGTTCTGCCAACTTCACTCCTCATGGCTCTTGTCTGGACAAGCCCTTCATCTTGGGATTGTCTCCTCTTTTCCTTAAAACAAAAGATCAGACAAGCATATGATGCTAACAATGCGATTGTTTAATCGTAACTGTCCAGCAACAGCTACCGATTAACAAAARAAAAAAAAAATTGCCAAGTTTCACTCAGACTCCTATTCAAATCTTGAGGGGCTTGGTGTCAGTCCCAGTTCCTGAAGGAGAGTGTGGCTCTCCTGGTCTGGGTCTACAGAGTGACATTCAGTCCTGGTCTGGGTCTACAGAGTGACATTCAGTCCTGGTCTGGGACTGATTGGCTGGAGAGCAGCTTTGCAGGAAAGGTCTTTGGCATCCTAGAGCATCCTTCGACATCCTAGAATAAGAAGTTGCCCAAGAGGCAGCAACCACACTGCTCGTGCAGCAGAGATGGGAGACAGCCCCTGGACAGCATTAGGCAGGTCGGAGCAGATGGTCCTTCCCCTCAGTTCTGTATAAGACACAGCTGGAATCTTGGGAATTCTGTTCTAGGCTCACTGATGCAAGGCAGACTCGGAGATAGGAAGCAGGTGCAGCAAAGGGCTCTGAAGATGATTAAGKGCTTGGAGCAACTTTTGTACAAGAAGTGTCAAGGGAGCTGGAACTTTCAGTCAGCATGCAAGGAAGCTCAGGGACTCCTTATTGATCCATACAAATATCTGATGGGAAAGGGTAAAGCAGGTGGAGCCAGCATCTTCGCAGTGGTACCCTTTGACAGGACAACGGGTAATAGGCACAAATTAACATACAGGAAAATCCATTCAAACATAAATCAAATAATTTTCATTACAAAGGTGACCAAACAGCGGAAGAGGCATTCAGGCAGGCTGYGAATTCTCCATCCATGGAGATACTCTTCCCCAAAATGCCCTGATCATGCTTTGAGAAAGGGGACCCTTGGTGGGCTCCACAGGTGCCTTCCAACTTCAGCTGGTCTGTGGCTCTGCATGACACAAGCACTGTGAAACTGAAGCAAATTTCTCAGCTGATCTCTTCCTCCCTTTCCAGATGTGCTCTGAGAACTGAGCCCTGATGCTTGTGCTTGTGACAAAATCTTTCATCTGTTTTGCAGAAAGGAATATGTCATTAGGCCCATGACACAAGAGACAAATTATCTTMTGACCTCTGGCAGGGCTTGTGCATTAATGGGTACCCAAAGATTTACTGAACTTGGCAAGTTTCAAGTCCTGCCTACAGAGCAACACAAATGGCCTGTTAAATTATGTGGTTTTGCTTTATGTTTTTTTTTTCCTAATTGCACTACTTTGGGTAGCTATGCTTGAGCCTGAATAGATTTGCAAGGAAAAAAGAGTGAGAAGATTTGAAGGTTGAATGCAGTTAACTATTCCCTTACACGACAATGAACTTTTCTCCACACTTACTTCCAAAAAACACTGAAGAAGAGGTGTGCAGACTGGAACTTTGTTCTGTTTTGTATGAACGGTTAAGAGACTGGCACA